CCCCCCCCCCCCCCCCAAGAATTTTAGACTCAAAATTACTTTCCAACGCATGCAAGTCTGCTGTTACTTAGCTTCTAACCAAAAAACTTGTGGCCAGCAGGAAGGGTGTGTCTGAAATGGAGTAATACAAGCGCAGTCCATATTAAGTCAGTCAAGACTTGGCATGTCAGTCTCAAGTCTTTTGCAATTGTGTGATATCCTTCATTTAGTATCTCTAGACCAATGACAAACTTGGACCTGAGAGCTATTATCAAACATCAGTTTTCCCCTGAGCAAAGCCTACTGCTATTACATCTCTCCTTTCATTGCCAAGTAATCAAAGTTATTACCTTTACTGGCAATCTGCCAGCAATGTGCTCTCACCTGTCCTTCCCATTTGCTGAATTTACTTGCAGTATATGTAGCTGTGTTGCTGCTGTTATAACCAGATGTTGGGCCAGAAGAAAGACTAAGGCTGGAATCTGTACATAAAGTGCTTGTGCTTAGAAGAGTCTTCAGCTTGGCTTCTTCCTGAAAAGGATGCCACAGTGTTAGGGACATTCTAAAAAGTGGAAGTCACCCGCATGGAACAGCATCTAGCCAAGGCAATGACAAAGCCACCAGCCCTGAAAAGTGAAGTAGGACTGATCCGATTGGGTAATTTAAGTCCTTTGCCCCTTGAATAAATGTGGACATTGTAAGAGTGACCACTGCAAGCAGCACTATCAGGGTGTTCCATTACTGATGGATTTGGTTTTTTTGTTGAGTCTGCCCAGGTCATGGAGACTCAGCAATTAAAAACCTGCATGGAGCTATCCAGGTCAAAGGGTGGTGATTCAGGGAAGCCTGAATAATCACAACCTGTGCTGCTTTGGTCCTGTAGGGATAGGATTTCACTTTCTAGTCTGACATTTGCCAGAATACAGTGCTGTTCTGACAACCTATCTTGATTGCAAATGCCTCCTGCAAGTTACTGGTTTGACTTAACTCTGGTCAAAGACAGCTACCAAGGTCTGAGTATTTTACTTTAGCCATAGCTGCTCAATATTAACCTTAAAAAGAGAATAACATTGGCAGTAGGAAAACACTTAAAACCCCAGGATGATTTTTACTTGGAAAAACAATTTGAAGTTTAGTTTTTCAGCTCAGCTGGCGCATTTTTACAGACTTCAATAATAGAAACCGAAGTGGATGTGGTTAATGCACAGTGATCAAAGAGGTGCCAGGCTGCTTGGTTTGTTAAAGGACGCAGGGGCAAATACATGACTACTGCATTACCTTTTGCATATGACAAACGGCTTCCTACAGGTTCTACTTATAAGAGATGACAAAGTTTTCTGCAGGGACAATGCAGTCCCAAACTGAGCAGTGACCCAAAGATAAAAAGGTGCTGTCCCTACATTGGAACCAACCCCTCAGCCCTCCTCCGAGCTCAGGAATGGAGGAAAGGTGACAAAAGACAAAAAAACCCCAGTACAATAACAGGAAGAGGCAAGTGACCCCACCCCTCCAGACTAAAGATGAGAGTGGAGAAAAAGGACAGAACTAAACCATAATAAACCTACAGAAACAGAATTACTCTATCCATCAGTAAGCTCTGCTAGCTCCCATTTTATAGCAAAAAGGTGTTGTCTCCCACAGCAGATGAGTGTGAAGCCTCTTGGACCTAATGGCTTAGTCCAGCAGCACCCAAAACTAAATTACTTCAATGCTGTTGGTGGGGTGGGGTGAGGAGGATTAATCCAATTTAGCATGTTCAGTCTTTATTAACTTTGCCTCACACCATGGGCTTAATAACTATCAAGATTTCTTTAAAGCAAATGAGAAAATCTCAGTATATTAATCTAAGAGGAAAAGGACAGACGTGCGTCCTGAGCAGCAATAAAAGGTGAGGTGGATCTCAGTAGTGTGCATCAGTTGCTGCAATCTAATCATTACACCTGCATGATCCAGTAGTGATACGAGTGGGCTAAATTGCCCTTACTTTGAATGAAGCAGGATTAAAGCTAGAACAGTTCACTACACGTGGATCACTACAGCATGTGTGGTCTCCTTTGATGGTTGAGACAGGTGTTACATCAGTCTATATCCTGTATGGCTTCAGTACCTACAGAGATTTAATGCACACCTTCTGTAGCTGAGAAAATATTTGCTCCCGGATGCGCCTTTTTTCTTGCTCAGCTCTCTCCCGAAGTTTGTCCCTCGCCCGTGCAATTTCTGTCTTGGCCTCCTCTCGTGCTCGCTGATAATCTTGGAGCAGGAGCTCGATCTCTGATGGAGGCTGGATAGTCCTTCTCTTCGGTTGTTGCACTCTGGGGATAGGGAAGAGGGAAAAGGAAGTGGCAGGTGTCTGACACCATGTCACGCGGCAATAGTAATGAACTACGAAGAGCTGCTTTCTTGTTACACTGAACAAGGAACTTCGAGGAGGGAAAACAGCATTATTTGTAGAAGAAAAGATTTTCTCTATTTTACTGAAGAGCTTCTGGAACCACTTTGGCTTAGCTTCCCTTTCCCTCTGCTACTAATTAAAATAAAGGCTTTATCTAAATGCAGCTGTCTCCTGAAGAAGTCTATCCTGTATCAGTAACAAAACTCAAAAACTAATGATGCATTTTAACCACACCTGCTGCATATTACTACTGCACTATACTGTCATCTTGCTTTCTGGTTATCCACTCTTACTGTCCTTGTAAATATTATGCAAGTTTGGCTATGGTCATGTTTATAATAGTAACTTTGTGTATTCTTTATCTGCATGCCTTCATTAGTATGCAGGTTCAGAAGTTTGAGGGCTACTTGTGCGTGTTTTTACTGTTTGCAGGCTTGAGTTTACTGACTGGGATTAAGATCTGCAATTGTAAAAGGTAGCATTTGTGCCCATTCCCCCAGGCTTCCAAAACATGAAGTTTGTAGGCACACAAATGTGGCTAATGCAAAATAATGCAAAGGTCAGTGAAAGGTCAGCACTCACTGTTTGCTTTGCAGCTCTGCAAAGCAGTCTGCAGTGGAGCAGCCCTCCGTTTTAGTACATGATTGGGTGTGACAAACAGGAGGAGAGATTCTAGATAGGAGTTACAATCTAGACCAGCATTTCTCAAACTGTGGGTTGCAACCCAAAAGTGGATCACAAGAATATATGAAAGGGTCACAAACAAACTTTAAAAATGGATCAGCCAATTTAAAAAATGGATTCTCCTTTAAAGGAGAAAAATATGGGAAACTGCCTTTTTCCTTGCAGGCTGTCATAGTTCCAGCCTGCAAGAGGCTGCTTGGGGACCCCCATGCCCCACACGCATCATCCCCACCCCCTGTCCCACACACCCACCCCCTGGCCTGCATGCTAGGGCCTGGGGGTAGAGGGCAGCAGGTCAGGAGTAAGGGGCACTGGGTCAGGACTGGCCACTGATGTTTACAAATAGGTTCTGGTACAAAAAACATTGAGAACCACTCGAGATGGCGTGGTGGTTTACCAGTTCCTCAAAGTAAAAGTGCTTCTTTAGCACAGGTCCTTGAAGTGGGTTCAGATGCAAGTCTGATGCTCACTGTAGAAATCTTTGAACCTACCACTTAAGTAGGCCAGAAGAACTGGACATAACAATCAGAAGAGGACAGCAGGAAAAACAGTGTTTATACACCCAGAGCATCACATGTATCAGCACCCCCCCACCATTTTTCAGCTTTAAAGTACCCCGCTGCCATTTTTCAGTGTGGGGACACTGATGCACGTTATGCTGGAGTCTGCTGGAGTGCAGAATTACCACGTTCCAGCAGACTCAATTAATCGTGTCAGAGCAGCCTTGCTGCACGCGTATAGGCGCCCACAGTGGCAAACCCTGGTCATGTGGAGGAACAGTGGCAGAGGTGCGGAGAAGCGGTGACCTCTGGAAGCAATGGCTAGACCAGCACTCCCCAGCATCAGAGGAGCAGTGTTGCAGACCTTCCTACCCAGCACTTGCTACTCTGTTTGGTGTTGGTGAAAGAGCCCTGGAGCAAAGTGGTGACCCCTGACAGTGAGGAGCAGCTAGGGCCCTGGGGCAGGCCTCCCTACACAGCACTTGCTGCTTTGGCTGGCATAGCTGGGTAGAGCCCTGGGAAAATCTTCCTTCCCAATGAGTGGGCTTGGTGGTAGCTCCTGCTCCGGTGGGTTGGTTTGCCAGTGACTGGGACTATGAAATGTTTCAGCTTCTAGTTAATCGTCAACAGTTTATTTTCTTCCTCCTGTAATAAATCCTATTTAAATCCTGTTGCTTGCAAGTGGGAAAGTTTGTTCACTTTAGGACACCCAGTTAAGATTTATCTTCCCAGTTTTCCATGTAGGGGATCAAGCTACATTTGAAAAGCTGTTGGAAACCCCCTACTTTTGAACCCAGATCTTGCTGCTGCTATCCAGTGCCTGACAGAAGGGTTACATCCCTGTAACAAACACAACTTATTCTCTCTCTGAACAGGGGAGAGACATTCTGATGTTGTATCAAGTCAGCAACTGCTTTCAGGCATAGGGACATGACACGCTTTGGGATCACCTGCATTATTGATCCTCTTGTTAATATCCAGAACTTGGATTATCCAATTGTCAGATCCTCAGTATCCTTTGCAGGCCTCACATTTACTAAACTTGGAGAATGGATTCATGGTGTGTGTCACTGGCAGTATACTGACACACAGGGCTGTGCGAAACAGCATCGTTTTGTTTTGACTTCCATTTCACTGTTTCGAAGGGACAGTGTTTCATTTTGTTGTCTTGTTTCGTTTTGAAGCACTGTTCCATTTTGTTTTGTTGAAACCGTTTTGACGTGTTTTGACGTTTTGCCCGTAGGCTATAATGGGGAATCATGAAAATACCTAAAACTTTGTCATTTCTTGCCTGATTCGGATGAAAATTGTGGGGATAGTAGCCCCTTCTCAGGGCATGAAGCCTGCCAAGTTTCAAGGAGATAGGTGCAGAGGTTTCTGGGAAACCGCACTTCAAACAGTTGAAAGGAAAACTCATATCACTTGCTGGCAGCGGCAGCCTCCTGTCATCCCGTGTGCAGATCTGGGGGCCCGCAACCCCAGGAGGGCTGCGGGGCTGTTCCAGACTCGTCCTGGGGAAGTGGGCCCCTGGATCTGCACATGGGATGACAGCAGGCTGCCACTACCAGCTGGGACTGGCACTGGGCGCAGCCCATGCCAAGCACCAGGAAGCCTGGTGCTGCCGCTGGCCCCAACCAGCAGTGGCAGCAGCACACAGATCCAGGGGCCTGAGCCCCGCATGGGAGGGGTGCAGGGCTGTGCCACACTCCTCCCGGGGGGCGCAGGCTGACACCAGGCTGCTACTACCACCTGGGACCGGTGCTGAAGCCAAACGAGCCCGGCTTTGAAACTCAAAACTTTTGGAGTGCCCTTGTTTCATTTCGAAGCTGTTTCAAAGCCTTTTGTTTCATTTTGATATCGCTGTTTCAAGCTCGAAACATGTCGAAAAAGCTTCAAAACGAAACACCAGGTGAAATTTCACACAGACCTACTGACATACTGCACTGACTTCCAATAGTCATACAAACTCAAGGTTCTGACTTTCATCCACTAAACAGGGAAAACCTGGAGTCCCAACTATCTAGAAGAACATCTCACTTTAAATTACCATCAGGGGCAGCTGGGAGCCACCTCTAGATTCAAATGAAATTAAATGAACAGAGCTTCTCAGCAGAGAGCCACCAGATTCTGCAATTCCCTGCTCCCACAGGTCTGGCAGAATCCAAGTCTGTTGATATTTAGGGCACAGTGCAGAGCCTGTTTCCCCTCTACAACATTTTAAATAGGAAGGAATATGAAAGATAAATACAATATATACAGTGAGATGAGGTTGTAGATCAGTGATTCTCAACCCGGGGGGGGTAGGGGCTGGGGGGGGGTACTATGACAGCTGCTGAAGGGTGCCAGCAAGAGATAAGTGACATAAGCTGGAGGAGATAGATGCAGGCAAGGAAATTTGTTTTTTAAGTCATGAACATTTTGTATTGATATTATAATACCAATAATACCAGTTGATACTATGAAAAGGGAAATAAAATGTCACAAAATTTTGTATGAAAATTTATTGCCTTCTCCAATGGAGGGTAACAATTAACTTCCCAATCCCACAGTTTGCTACTTTTGTAATTGACATTTAAGAGGAGAATCTCTGTACTCAGTTCTGCTACAGAAACCTCAATGTCAGAAGTTGACGTAAATTGCACAGGTACATTTCAGAGCAGCATGAAGCCCCAAAGCTGAGGTTTATGTGACCCTACCTAGTATTTTGTACCACATCTCTTCTCAGTTGCTGTAGGTATTCTCGGCGTCTGCTGGGGAGATCCAAATCCCTCTGGCTTGTGTCCAGTGTCTGCAACAGGCCCGCATGCTTTTGTGGACTGAGACTCCTGCTTCTTCGGTAACTCTGCAGCCTTTCTGCCCTGTCTTTTCTCAGGGCTTCGATGGTCCTCATGTGTCTATCAGGGAAACACAGCCATAATCACAAAGTATACATCCTGCAAAACTAAAAAGCACAATTTTCCATTGTGTTATAAGATGGTGAGTACTAAAGAATGGAAACATAACATTTGCAAGTCTCTAGTAACTCTAGGACTCCTGCACAGCTCTCTTGTGTCCCACAATCAGAAATTCTAAAACATGATCAAATTTAAACAGCAGGAAATGACTGCAAAGAATGAGAACTCATTTTAAGCCTTTCAGAGCAGAATTTTATTTCCTTTTGTATGCTGAAATGGCAGTTTTCTACCTGTGTAAGGGGCTTTTTTGGCACTTGCACCCAGACTGTGATTATGTTACAGCTGCACTGTGGACACACAAATCTGTGCATATCAACTGAATGTGTGAAGTAAGCTATGCGTTGGCTGGGCAAGTACACAGTTATGTACACAGTCCTATTCTAGGGGTATGAGTGCATATAAGTCACAAAAATGCAAGTAGCTAGACCTGGGGAAGCAGATCTGGTTTCAAGGCTACCCTCATCCAGAGCAGGTTTGAATCTGCATTTCTGTGATTTGCCACCACAGTGGTCTAACCACCACAGGTGTTATCAGGTGCTCCCCCCACTCCACCACACCTTTTAAAGCTGCTCCCCTTGGCCATCAAGAGAAGGGAATATGGGAAGCCCGGAAGGAAGACCACAAACCAGAAGGTCTGTGGCTTAGCAAGATGGTTGTTGCCCTAGATAGGAGGCAGGAGCTGGATCCAAGCCTAGGGGCCTGTCCCCTGTGGGGCAGAAGCTTCTGAAGTGTACTGCTTTCCACCCTTTTTGTCCAAAGACTATTAAATGTTAAGGATGATGGATCAGATTCAAAGGGTGCACTGGATGGGTGAGTGGATAATACCTAACTTCTGGTGTAGTAGTTAGAATATTGGGCTAAGAAGTCAGAGAGATGCAGGCTCAAATCCCCTCTTGGGGAGGGGAAGGTTAGTCTAGAACATAAGTCTTCCACTTTCTAGGCACATGACCTATGTACTCAACTACTGGGGCGAAAGCATGAGAGGGTTGTTGTCCTCTTCTGCTAATGTAGATGTGTACATGGTCAGTAAGTAGCCTTCTATACATGCAGGCTTATGCGTCCACAGCACAGAGGCGAATGCCAAAAATGATCAGGTACATTATTAGTGCTGTTTAGGTACACAAGGGAAATGGACTTCCATCCCTAATGGCTGAGGGACAAACTGACAGATTAAAACAGATAAAATATATTTTAATCCTAACTGTTAAGTTAGAACAACTGCCTGATTTCAGATGCAGCTTGCTCTACTGCCTGAGGTAGGTTGTCCAGCCACCAAGAAGTCCCAAAGTCTAGACCATCAACCCAAATGAGCCAGACAGCGCTATGCCAATAGAAGCAAAATACAGGTACTCCTCACTTAACGTCATCCCAGTTAATGTTGTTTCATTATTACATCACTGATCTATTCGAGAACATACTCGTTTAAAGTCGTGCAATCTTCGGTTATAACACTGTTTGGCCACTGCCAGCTATTAGGTAACTACTGTGATATAACTGGATTCATTTAACATCGTTTCGCTTAAAGTTGCATTTTTCAAGAACATAAGATGGGCGTCAGAGGGACACCAGCCTACCAACTGTCGATGCTGATTTGGTATAGAGCCACTTGGATGGACTGGATGTGTTCAAGTCAGCAGGCCCAGATGAGCTGCATCTGAGAGTACTGAAGGAACTGGCCGGTGTCATAGCAGAACCACTGGCACGGCTGTTTGAGTGCTTGTGGTGCTCAGGTCAGGTCCTGGAGGACTGGCAAAGGGCCAATGTGGTCCCTATTTTCAAGAAGGGAAGGAAGGAGGATCCGAGTAATTATAGGCCAGTCAGTCTCACCTCCATCCTTGGAAAAGTCTTTGAAAAGATTATGAAGAATCGTATTTGTGGGAGTCCTGAGGGAAAAATAATGCAGCAGGACAACCAGCATGGATTCGTAGCAGGTAGATCATGCCTGACTAATCTGGTTTCATTTTATAACCAGGTCACAAAACGCTTAGACGCAGGAGTAGAGGTGGATGTCGTTTTCCTGGATTTTAGGAAGGCCTTTGATACAGTATTTCATCCCATTCTCATAAATAAATTAAGAGACTGTGACTTAGATGTTTACACGGTCTGGTGGATGGCAAATTGGCTTGGGGGTCACACTCAGAGAGTGGCAGTAGTTGGGTTGGTATCAACCTAGAAGCATATGGGTGGCGGGGTCCCACAGGGTTCGGTCCTTGGACCTCTACTTTTCAATACCTTCATCAGTGACTTGGATGTGGGTGTGAAGTGTACTGTGTCCAAATCTGCAGATGACACTAAATTGTGAGGTGAAGTGCACACTCTGGAGGGTAGGGAACGATTCCAGGCAGACCTGGACAGGTTGGAAAAGTGGGTAGAACACAACAGGATACAGTACAAGGACAAATGCAGAGTGCTGCACCTAGGGTGTAAAAACATCCAGCACACCTACTGAATGGGAAGTGACCGTCTCAGCAGCACAGAAGTGGAAAGGGATCTCAGAGTCATAGTGGACTCTCCAAGATGAACATGAGTTGTCAGTGCGACGAAATCATCAGCAAAGCTAACCACAATTTATCATGCATCAGCAGATGCATGTCAAATAGAACCAAGGAGGTGATAGTTCCCCTCTATGCAGCACTGGTCAGACCACAGTTGGAGTACTGTGTCCAGTTTTGGGTGCTGTACTTTAAGAAGGATGTGGATAGACTCCAGAGGAGGGCGACTCGTATGGTTAAGGATTTACAGGCCAAGCCCTGTAAGGAGAGGCTAAGGGACCTGGATATTTTCAGCTTCCGCCAGAGAAGGCTGAGAGGTGATCTTGTGGCCACCTACAAATTCATTAGGGGGGTGCAGCAAAGTATTGGGGATGCTCTGTTCACCAGGGTGCCTCTTGGGGTAACAAAGAACAATGGTCATAAACTGACAGTGAACAGATATAAGCTAGACATCAGGAAAAACTTCTTCACGGTGAGGGTGACCAAAATTTGGAATAGGCTTCCAAGGGAGGTGGTGCTCTCCCCTACCTTGCCAGTCTTTAGGAGAAGGCTGGATAGGCATCTGGCTGTGGTCATCTGACCCCAGCACTCTTTCCTGCCCAGGAAGGGAGTCGGACTCGATGTTCTGTTGAGGTCCCTTCCAACCCTAGGATCTATGAATCTATAACTATGATGTTAAGCGAGGAGTAGCTGTAAGATATTTCTATAAATAAAGAGAGGTGAAACTCTCCATTGCAGGCTCTCATCAATGGAATACACTCAGAGATTTGCATACAATCATTTCCATATCTGTTAATGAGTTTTGTTCATTTAATAAGAGGATACACTTAGAATTTGATAATCCTATAGTTTGTAAACCTCCCTACTTCCTTCAATCATGCAAAAACCTTGCTCTCAAGTTATCATTTACCTTGTATAAGAGAATCTTAATACTACATCTTTTTACACACATTTCACTGTTCTTCAGTTAAACAATTAAAAAATATGAGCTCTTATGTTGTTCATAAGATCTATGTTACATATAAGGATCCACAAACAAATATACCTTTCATAGAGTTGCTGTTTTATCGGAATTAAGGTCAGATCCTCCCCAGTCCCATTCTGAAGAATCCTCAACATTGCATCTGTTTCTCCAATGCCATAATTCAGCTTTGCTTCAGTAAGCTCTACAGTAAGAGGGTGCTGGTTCAGATCCAGATGTATGCCAGACATAATCTGGGCACGCTCTCTCTGAAGCCTCTCAATTTCTCTGGTTCTACTATCAGAAAGCTGGGATTTCTCTTGAGTTTCAGCTGCTTGTTTACTGATTAGCTTCTTTTCTACCTGATTTTGTAAATCAGCAGCACTGCCACTCAAGCTAATTAAGGAAGAAGAAGGACTGCCCTTCACTCCACACCAATTGCTGAATTTATTGTGCATGGGCAAGTCACGAAGACTATAACTTCGAGGCCTGTGGGTTTTCACTAAAGATGTATTCTCATTTAGAAGAATTTCTGTATTACATTCACTTGTAGTGATTGATGCTGTATCATCATCTTGAAATGGTATTTGCATGTCACTTGTGTCAGAAAGTGGGAAAGAGCAGGTATTTTGATTTTTCCAATAGGAATTGTGGAACTGTGGAGAAGAGGCTTCTGCTTGGTGTTGTGAGGATTCATCAACATTTGTCTTACTTGACCAACATGCGCTAATTCCTTGACTAAAAAGCAAGTCAGAATTTGGAGATGAATGTCTACATTCATCAATACAAGAAGTCTGCGAGCAGTCTTTAATCAAAGATATATCAGCATCTCCAGTGTTTTTTCCATATCCAATTCCTCCAAAGGAGCCTCTTCCTCTCCTGGTGATATACATATAGTGAAGTGATTGTTCCACTGGAACGTGCTCTCTGTCAACTAAAGGCTCCCCATGGCCAGAAACCTCTAGAGTGCTACTTGAATTATACAGTCTTTTTGCTTGAATTGTGGTACATTTATCAACTGTGAATCTGTGCTTTTGCCTTGAGTCTTTTGATACATTTATTCCTAAAATCTCTTTGGTTGTGTGTGAGAAGTTTCCAGATTTCTTGCTTAATTTTTTGTTGTCTCTAGAAGGGCTAGATTCACTATCTGCTTCTGTTTGTGAAAAATTATCGACGTGAGGCTCTGAGCCAGATGAGGGACCTGGCCCATGCTTTCTTTGATTAATAAGGGAACCTGAAGTATCATTAGGATGCTCCACAGAACCCTTGATAGAACAAATCGACTTGCTACAGGTAATCTGACTATTTGGAGTGGCACTAAGTGTAAGAATAGGTGAAGAAGCTCGATCAACTAAAAAGTTGTTTTTATAACAAAGTTTTCTTTCTGCTGTGATATCAAGTTCATCTGCACCTCTTTTTTCCTGAGTGTAGCAGGTGGTAGATTGAAAGTTACTAGAACTGGGACTACTAACAACAGTGTAGGAAGATTCATCATGTCCTGAACTTGGCAAAGTTGATGCAACAGATGAAACCCTGGTACTACCAAAAGCAACACTCTGTTGTGCATTTAGTGGTGGTTTTAGAAAATCTAAGATGGGAGTGGAGGCTCTAGCTAACATAGGCAGATGCATAAAGGAATCTTCCAAAATGTTATCAGTACTCTCACTGAAATCAGGCACACTCTGCCTTCTCGATTCATTGCTTCCTCGAGTTCTTCCTTGAAGAGCTAAAATTACATCCTTCTTTTTTGGGGACTTCTTTACTGCCTCAGAACTTACTCCTTTTCCGATCACGTTAACTTCCTGCCTCTTTGTCAATTCAATTCCCATTTTGGCTTTGATCAGGTTTTCCTCATATTTGCTTCGTAGGTATTCTGAAATATCAGTTTGAATGCCAATATCTGCTGTTGTTTGAGTATAGCTGTCCAACACAGTAGCCCTTACAGTATCTACATCAATTAATCTTCCTTTGCTTTTGGCTTCCTGTTCGCTATCTATGATGTTGTGTTGAGAGAGGTTTCCCAGCAGCTCAGAAGTGTTCTGAAGAAGCTGTGACAGATGCATGGACAAGTTTTGCATGCTTCCCCAAGAAGGTTGTGGAAACAAACTTGGCTCTTGCTTTCTTGCAGAAACATCTGTATAGCTTCTCCGGTGCCTTCTGTGTCTTTTATATCTTCCTGTACCCATTGTTTGTGTTCCCTGTTCACAAGTACTTCCTTGTGACTTTTTGGAGGCTATTTCTGATTCAGATGGGTAAAGTAGTACAATTTCATCAACTTGCATGGAAGTGTTAACAGGTTGTTCAGAAGGATTGTTTAACTTAATTATTCTGTTTTCTGGATTAGTCTCCAGTGTCTCACTGGATGCATTACCATAATGTTTGGTGCTGTCACTTGAATATGTAGATTCAAAATCTCGCCTCATGTCATCCCATCCCTGAAGATCTTCAGCACTGCTTAAAGTGCTTGATAGTACTTTTGCAGTAGCATACGAACTGAGATGAGAATGAAAAGGGGAGTTGTGTGAATTTAATCCATTATCCACACTAGAGCATCTCATAACTTTATGATTATCCAGGGTTAGAGGAGGTTGATTGCAAGAGACATCACTTGCACTCCCAAAAACATACTGCTTCCAACCAATCTTGCCAGGTCCATCTTGCTGCCATGGGTGAATATATGGGTTGATATCACTTGAACTAAAATGCATTGCATCTTTATTGTCTGGTAAAAACAAATCTGTTTCTTCTGACTGTTCTCTCAGTTCTTCCTCTTCACTGCACTGTGCTACTGAAGTATTATTTGCATTGGTATCTATAGAATTATCAGATATATGTGCCAGAGCAGGTGGACAATGAACAAGAGAGGGATCTCGGGAGTGGCTGCGTTGAGTTCTCTCACCACAGTTTTGCAAATTTTTTGGATCATAGTTTGCAAATCTCTTAGTTTGTACTGATCTCTGCTGAAATCTGGGTTTGTATTTAGCCTGCATGAAATTATCTGATGCCGGCTTTGAAAATCTTTCAATTCCATGAAGATCATCATCTGTTGGAGATGGAGGCTCTACACTCATATTTAACTCTTGCAGTGACTTAGAGGCTGGATACAAAGAGAGGTCTGCCTTTGCAGAAGTTTCTGGACTGTATTCAAGATCAGAGATCACAGCGATTGCTGGGGCTGATAGCCTATGATGTAAACATGATTTCTGTTCCTCTTGTTTGTTGGTCTTTGTATTTTGTGTAGCAAAACATGATTTTTTGCTCCTAAGTAGCATCAATGGGGATTCGTGTGGAAGCAAACAGTTGTCTTCTGGCAAAACACCAAAAGAGGTATTTTCACTATTCATTCCAGAAAGTTTTAGCCTTTCTGACTTCAAAGTCTCATTTGCCACTGGTGGATTATAGTCTGTATTGTCAGTATGACTTTCAAAGCTCGAACTTGTATTATTTTTGCTATGAATCAGATCTTTTCCACCATTTATATTAGGTCTACCTTGATCCTCTTCACTGGCATGTACAGGCTGCCAGTTGTCTTGTAAATCTGTATAATCATATTCATTATCTGTGGGACATACTGGCCAATACAAGTTGCATATGTACATAGAATCAACATCAGCATCTCCTAAAGATAGGTTTTTTGATGCTGTAATTTGTGGGTCCACAAAGTCATTGGCAGAAATTGATGATGCTCTGGTTTGATTTTCCATGTGGTCTTTCCTTAAAAATATATTTCTTTGCTTTCTCTCTGTTACAGGAATTTCTTTCTCAATATTTGAATGCAATTCTCTCTCGTTTCTGCTCAGTGTTTGTCTAACATTAGCATCTCTATTAAGAGTTGCTCTTGCAGTATCCCAAAAAGGTGATAATAATGGCATAGAAACATTTTCATTATGTATTTTCTCAAGGTTTTCTAAACCTTTTTGAGGTGGAATTTTATCCCAGTGCTCTTGAACATTGTTGAGTTTGGAATTATTTTTATTGATTGATTTTCTGTCTGCAGAAGGGTCTGCATCTGAGGTAGATTCTGTATGAGACATCGGAACGTGCCTGTTTTCCTTTACAAGAGAATACATAATATTTCCTGAAGTAGATGACTGCTGGTCAAATACCACCGAATCGTCAGACTGACTCTCTTGCATTTGTATTTTAGCAAATCTTGAACAGTTTGAAGTAGCTATATGTGACTTGTCAGATCTGCTAGTTTCATTGTAACCAATGTCACTAGTAAGAGGGCATTCTGAAAAAATTTTTAAAGATGAGTAACAAGCTTTTGGAAATCCTTGAAGAAAAGCTCTCTCCCTTCCTTTTTGTACAGAGTGAGGTTCTGCAGCAGTAGATGACAGCTGGTCAGTCAAATAAGTGTCTTGCAATGAGTCTTCAAGTTGGTTAAACGTCAGAGGTTTTGAGTCCTTTGGTGAATTGGAGGTGTCAAAGGTACTGAGACTGTTGTAACTTGGATATACAGTGCATGTTGAAAAATCCTCTACAGAGCAGAAAGGAAGAGGTTTTGTCTCCTTACTGCTCATTTGTTCAAGACTTTGATATTTAAGACAGTTTATCTCTGGTACTTTCATACTAGAACTGCTACCAGAGTCCTCTGACTGTGAAGACTTCATATTTTCTTCTTTATCGTGGCAGTTCAGGAAAGAATCTTTATTTTGCTTTTCTACTTGATCTGTTCCCACAACTTCTTGAGTGAGTTCAACATGCTGCATGTCTGTGTTTTCTCTACTGGTAGAACAATGTTTGCCTTCATCTTCTTTCCGACTGGTAGCAAGATCATCAGAAAAACATAATGGAACACCCAGATCGGCTGATTCGCTTTTGAAGTACTTTGCTTTTTCAAAACAAACAGCATCAATTTTGTCTTCAAAGGTTTCTATTAAATCTGGACTATTCAGTAGACTAGTGGAAGTTTTAGAATTGTAAGAATTAATATTATATCTTGGAGAGTCCTCAGCACAAGCAGCAGTTTTCCATGGGGGCTGAATAGATCTTTCTAAAAGACTCAATGCATTCTCAGAAGCAAATGCAGAAATATCAGGATATCCTACAAACAGCTCTATAGGAGTCTTGTATGCCTGAATTTCATTGTGCTCAGTTTGATATGTAAATACATCAGGAAACCTTTTGCAAAGACCTTTACAACCTGTTTTAATACAGTTTGCAACTGGACATTCCTCTGTCCGATCACATTGTGCCAATGGGTGAAGTTCTTTCTGACTTAAATTAATATCATCAGAAGTTGCCTGCAAAGAGGCCTCAGATAAATACTGCTTCATTTTTTCTCCTTGATCTTTCAATACTGTAGAGATAAGCAGATTTGAATTTTCTGAACTTGGTGAATCAACCACAAGTCTTGATTCCACAACATCTTTTCCTTCTTGAGCTGCATTTTCTGAGAAATATAAACAGTCTTCTGATTGTTTACCCACACTTAACCCCATTCTGTGGACTCCACAAGAATTGCTAACATTTTGAATTATAGTTTCAGAAGAATCTAATCTTCCCAAGAAAAATGAATTATGTTTTACATCTTGGCTTACTGCACCTGCTACTGAATTATGACAGTCTGAAGTATAGGCAGTAGAATGCATGTCATCCTTACCAAATTGCCCAGGTGCCGCACAATTGGAAATGCTCTTTAATGCAAAGAGTTTTCTCTGTCTCTCCTCCATGAGCATGGTTTGCTGAAAAACACTTTCTTCATCTTGCATTTTATCAGAAAATGATTCATCTATACACTCTCTATTAGGTGTACTGGGTGTTTCATCATGCATATCACTGCCCATTAATGTTTCATAGTAAGGAAGAATGACTCCACTACCAGCATTGCTGTAAACTGGCTTTGCATTTTCTTTTAAGACTGTGGGATCAACCTGTGCACATTCTGCACTATTATTTATTCCAAGATATAACAGGTCATTCACAGATGGACATGGAAAAACCTCAAGTGAACGCTGTTGGATTTCTTCAGAGGACTTGTCAGTTGCTGCTATACTCTGCTGGTCACTGGGAACTGAAGAGCCACTGGTGTCATTATTTCTAGCAAAATCTTTAAATAACCACTGACTTTCTTTTAAGATCTTGTTTAATTTGCTATCATCATTTGACAGGTGGCAATTTCCTTTATCTTCAGGTGAAAGTTCATTTTGATTTTGTGCAGTAGTCAATTCTAGCCCCTCAGTGTTGTCTGTGAAAGTCTTCCTTTCCCTGTCTGTTCTAAAGACAGGTACTTTACATGATTTCACATTTTCTTTTAGTACATCTATTTTAGCCTCCACTACCAGATTTATCAGATATGCCTTCTCTTTTTCATGTACTACGGAGTGCACTGGATCAGTATACACAATATTAGAACTGCTTCCAACAGTATCTGTATCCAAATTTTCTGAGGCATCATTCTCAGGATATTCTGTACAAGAGCTTGTAAGTGTATTGCTATTCTCTTTAATTACAAGTCCTTTAGATTCTTCTCTGCTTCTATGCTGCTCAGTCAGAGCACTATCATCAGCTGAACTGTCACATTCATCGATATCTTTCATCAACGTATTCATTATGCCCATACTGATCCAAAGGTCAGGTAATCCACTATTTTTTTTAATTTCGATACCATCTGAGTTGTCTACTGTGAAAGCATCATGTTCTTCTGGTCTAGAAGCTGTCAAATATATTTTTGGAATCTCATATTCATTTATAATTTCTTCATTGTGATATTTTTGTCCTAGAGATGGAGTCTCTTCTGTAAATAATGCAATGTTCTTGCTGGCATGTAGTTCCCCTCTCCTTCTGCTGATGAACCCCTCATTCACTTTTACATTAACTTGCTCTTCACTCTCAGTTACTTCTGAGTTAATTCTGCTTCCATCAACTTTGTTTTCCTGAGAAAAGTTCTCATGGGCCAGCATCAAGCAGCCTGCTGTGCAAACTTCATGTTTATTGCTAGAAATAATTTTTTGTTCTTTTCCATCATCTTCTAAAGACTTTTCCTGGCTGCCTTCTGTTTGTTTTGCTGTGGCTATTTTGTCAGTATTCAGTACATTTTCTATCATTCTGTTAATTCGCATCAAGTCCTCATTAGCATCAAGGAAGTCAATAGTATTCTGAGTGAGATTTGTTGAGCTGGAACACTCAGGTGAAGAAGTGATTTCAGAAACAACATCAGTGTCTGGTAACAAAATACTTATTTCCATGTTTTCTTTCCTTTGAGTTTGGTGAAAGGTACTTGTCTGAAGACAGCTCTCAGATCCCACTCCTGCTTTTAATTCATGAGTGTAGCCCACCTCAGCAACAGTCACTCCAGATGATGCCTTCTCTGGTTCTTTGTGTAGTACTGGTGTGTGCAGCTCTTTGTATATTTCATAGTGATCTTTGCAAACTACAAGTTCACTTGGATCCTTTGGTCTCTGATCTAGACTGCTACTTTCTAAATTAAAGCTTCTATCTGCAATATCACGTTGGGTTTCCACTACAGAATAATTACTTAACTTCTCACTCTGTCTAGATTTCATGTCTAAAATACTGCCCTCTGGTTTCAATACACTGTCGATCAATTTTGCTATTTCTTCATTTTTATTTATTTTTTTACTCTGATGGGGAACTGTAGTTTCTTCTGGAATAACTTGAATTTCTGCAGTAACTTCTTTTTTTAAGCATTCAGATTCTTTATTACTGTAGGGACTCCCTTCTTCGAAAGCACTGGCTGATCTAGTTGTATTGTATTCATATACTTCTCTAGCATCTGTTTTCATATAATTATTAGTCCCTCCAAAAAGCAAGACCTCTCCTGAACAGTTGCTTTCATTGGGATCCTTACAAAAAAAAGCAGCCTCCTTCTCATGTTTTGATTCACATAAAGATTTGTTCTGAATTTGCATATCAGAGAAAATGTCTACATCAAATCCCAGAGAAATTTCTTCCTCTTTCTGCACCTTATTTTTCTGTTCTTGACATTCTAAATAACACTTTGGGCAGGAACAGTTGGAATTTATTCCAGAACAACTTTGTTTGACATTGGGTTCTATGTTGAGATTAGATGCAGAGATCCAAGATTCATTAACTGTTGTAAAGCCTTGGCATTGTTCATTATATTTCTCAGATTCAAAAACACTTTGAAAAAGATTAGATTTTGTTGTGCTGTGACCAAATGCACCTGAGTTAGATTGCACAGTAGATGCTCCCCTAATATCATAAGTTTTAGCAGTTGAGAATTCAGTATTTTTTCCTTTAAAACTCACATTAAGGTATCTTAATTCATCTTCCTGGCCTAAAGAGAGAGAAATAAAATTATGTTCTTTATTTTCATTGCTTTTGTCTCTTCTGTTTTTAGCACATATCATAGAGTTTCCCCGAGTATACTGTGGTAAGCAACATTCAGGATTGTCTGCTCGTAAACATTCATGGAAATCATTTGTTAAATCAATTTTGTTTTCAAATTCACAATGATTAAGTGAGCACAGTTTTTCATCCTTCTCTTCGCAATCCTCAGTATGTCTAAATGAAGTAGTTTCCAAAGCCATTTCTGTTAAGATCTCTCTGCTTGTTTTTGTACAGACTGTTTCTTCTGGAGAGGTCTGTATTGGTGTTGCAGACTGGTCATAACTAGTATCCTGAAGAAAGGTTGCAGGATCAGTTTGACAGGGTTTTTTTCCAGAAGAAAAACCTTTGTCTATGGTTATTTCTTCAGCAGACATCTCTTTGTAATCCATCTTTTGCATCAATACTGAATTAGTCCCCCCTACCTTACTAGCAGATTCTTCTTGTTCAACAGGCGTCTGAAGTGTATAACTTTCCTTTAAAGCATGGTTCCCATTCTTATTTATTGAGTTGCTAAGAAAGAGATCCTTATCACAAGATGTTGATATTTCCTTTTTTGCAAAAAGCTGACCATGATTTTTAACTACTCCTTGCTTTACTGCAGATGTTCCTAATACAGGCAAAGCCAAATCTCTAGAAAATCCACTAATACCCACACTAATAGATGCACCTCCAGCATTTGAATCTATTGCCTCTGATTCTGCTACTGAACTTTCACAGCTGTAATCTATGTCTGTTTTTTCAATTGTTCTAAAGAAGCTATCTTCTAATTCTCCATGTATAGGACTTTTTCTTGGTTGTGAAACATGCACAAGTGGTGCTGAAACTAATGTTTTTTCCTTAAAAACCGGATCCTTGGATAGCTCAGCATAAGTTGTGGGGACAGTGTCCTCTTCTTTTCCATGTACATGTGACAAAGTACCTACTGTGGAGGCTTTTTCTGAACAGCTAGATGTTTGTATGCATTCAACACTGGGCCCATACATAGATGGTTCACTTAGCTCTTCATGTTTAGGATCAGTTGCCCTAGCAACTTCACAATAACTATGTTTTGCAGAAGATGCTGAAATGGGGACAAATGATGCCTTTCGTCCTACTGAACTGACAAATGATGACTTCATATCTGAAGATTCTGAGACAGAACTTTCTTCAGACTTTGCATTTTCTTTAAGAGTCTTATTCAGTAAAGATCCACTCTCAGGAACCTGGCTTACAGCTAACTGATGATGTATTGCTGTTTCTGGTAATGGAATTTCTGATGGACCAGAGGTGAAAATTGAGTTTATTTTATTTATGCTGAGTGATAAATTAGAAATCCGGTGTAACTGCTTATAGCCAGAAACAAAAGATACTTCAGCAGCTGACTGCTTTAGCTCATCTTTCTTTGTCCACTGTTCTGGTTTGCTTGAAGAACACAGATAATCTTGAAATTCTAAATGTTCGTGAGACGAGGATACTGCTATTCTGGCACTGTTGTTTTCACTTTTTGAGTCATATGAAGACCAAGTATTATTGAGAAATAAAGGGTTTCCACCTGTAGAATAAGATTTTTGATGAAGAGCCCCTTCTTCCTCTACAAAAGAGACCTCTACTTCCTTCAACTGGCGAGTGTAAGCATTTTTGGAAAGAGATTGTATTTTAGTATCTAAATAAAAAGAACTGCTCAGATTTGGTTCATAATTTGTTTCTTTCATATCTTTGCTACAGGCTTCTGGCTTATGCAGTTCTTCTGGCTGTATGGTTGGTGCCCTAGGAGACTGCAGCCTCCAGAATATCTCCGCAGGCATTTCATCAGATGAGTCAGATTTGGATTCTTCTACCAGATCTTCCATTAACACCTCTTCTGCATCTGCTAGGCTATCTAGGGAAAAGCTTCTTTCAGCCTTTGCCAATCTCCTGCGTGACATGCAAGAGGTTACCAAGGGTGAAACTCGCTGCTCATTCCTGCCTTTGAAAAATTTAATTGGCTCTTGGTGAACCTTCAACTTATAAAAACGACTTTTATTTTGTTTTTTGGCTTTGCTTTCTTTTTCTGCCAGAGAATCCTGTGACATCTGACTATCATCACTTTCAGAATCTTCTGGGTTGGTGATGCATTTATTCCTGTCTGAATCTTCCTGTTTCAATTGCTCTGTCAAGGCTTTAGCATAGGCACAGGAAAGAGAATCCACAGAATAGGAACTATCAGTATCAGAAAACTCATTTTCTCCATCCTCTTGCCAGTTACCAAGCACATCTGTGACAGCTTTGGACACCCCAGTACTCAACATCTCAGCACTGTGCCACTTTTTTTCAATGTAATGGAGTGGTGTCTGGGTGTTCATCTTATTAAGGTTCCCTACTGAAGTTGCAGCCATCAGACATTCCTGCTGTTCCACTGGCTGCTTGTTATAGCTCAACAAGGATGCCTTTGGCTCTCTTTTCAAGTTCTTTGCAGTTTGGCTTAGATGCCCTGATGATGGCTTTCCACCCATTACTGATTTTTCCATTTCCTTGGTAAAGCCTTCTGGAAGTGAATCTTGGTGCTTTCCTGTTAAATCCATTCTAGTCTTTTTATTAAAAATCTGAGTGTCCTTTAGTTCTAGGTGTTTCTCTGCAGGCTGAGTTGAACTTCCTAACGCTTTGGATTTTGTCACTCTTGTCCCTGTAATAAAGGTTTCAGGCTCACCTTCCTTTCTAAAATGATCAGGCGAGCAGGTTGGAGAGGCCTGGCTTTGATATTCAGTTTGTCCTGTGCTATCACCTGATTTTTTCATCTCTTTGCTGACATGAGCTATGTTAACTGAACTACCACAGTCTTTTTCTGCTTCTTTTTTATTTCCAAATGACAATGTCTTTAGTTTTTTTGTTAGCTGTCTGTGGCCTGGGAACCAGCTGTAACTCTCATCTCGCCCAGAAATGCCTTTAGCTGTCCTGGGAAGATAATTTACAGACAACAATTTCCTTGGTGGATTGCATTCAGGGCACTGACAGGTATTTGGAGAGGTAGATAATTCAGAGGATTCGGAGGTGGTCTCCTTCTTAAGCAAAGAACTGTGAAAAGAAAAAGGGAAAAAGAAATCAGAAGCTCTTGTTACTGTTTGAATAGTATCTTTAAAGATGCTTCTCAAGTTTATGACTATGATAATATGCTATTGTTAATATAGAATGTAGAAGACATTGAAGTAACAATATCAATGCCTTTTAAAACAGTTTTTACCTGGGGCAGAATAAAATCTTATTTAGTCTTAGTCTTTATTGTACAGTCTGCTGCGCGTCCTGGAATATTTTTCATGATACTGGTTAGAGGGCTGAAATAGAAAGTAGGCACTGCATCCATGAAGACTCAGTTGCTACAGCCATTATTAGATATGGTGCAACTCTGAGTTACTAATGTAAAGGACTATACAGTAAAGATAAAATACATTTTCTTTTATTTTAAATAAGGCAAGAATGTACAGCTGGCAAAAAGCACAGAAGGAGATTCCATGCTTGGAAAGTTAAGGCAGGGTGCTGCACAGTACAGCTTCTTAGAACCAAAGGCATAGAGTTTGAATGTGAGATGCAATACTACGGGTCAGGTGACTTACAGGGTAGCAGGGTGAGACTGATTGTATAAGTTGAAGGTATAATTTTGCTTATACAAAAGCAAAAATTAGGCATGGAGGGCTATAAGCTGTACAGACACGACAGAGCAGGGAAAAGGAGGTTGGGGGGCATTGCTCTCTATGTTAAGGACTAATACATGTCCTCTATAATCACGATGGGATCAGAAGAGGGGCAAATTGAGGTACTGTGGGTCAGAATACAAGAGGGTTGGGGGAAAAGGGACTTGGTAGTGGGGGTCTATTACAGACCACTGCACCAGGAGGATGAGCTGGACCTGGAATTCTCAAGGCAGCTCTCAGAGGCAGTACGCTCAAGGGACATGGTTGTCATGTGTGACCTGAACTACCCTGACATCTGCTGGAAGGAGCAATCAGCTAGATATGACTATTCATGTAGGTTCTTAACCTACATACAGGGCCTTCACCTAACGCAGGAGGTATACAGTCCCACCAGAAGAAAAGCCTTACTGGACTTGGGGATGACCTGGTAGGAGATCTGCAGATACAGAGTAACCTAAGAGATAGTGATCACCAATTGCTAGAATTCACTGTCTGGGAAAAGGTGCGGAAGATAATCAGTAGGGTAAAAGTGGTAGACTTCAGAAAGGATAACTTCAATGAGGTCAGGAGGTTAGTAAGTGAGGCACTGAAGGATAAGAGCACTGGGGAGATGGGAGTCCAGGAAAGGTGGTCATTCCTCAAGGGAACAATCCTTCAGGCATAGAAGGAGACAATCCCATTGTACATAAAAGGGGGCAAAAGGGCCAAGAAAGCCTCTTGGCCAAACAGGGAAATCCAGGAAAGCCTAGGGATAAAAAAAGGGAGGTATAGAGACTGTGGAAGAAAGGGGTAGCCACCAAGGAGGAGTATACCTACTTGGCTTGCTCTTGCAGGGAGTCAGAAAGGCCAAAGCAGCAATGAAACTCAGGCTGGCAGCAAAAATTAAAGACAACAAAAAGTCCTTCAGGTGTAGAGGGAGCGAAAAGAATGTGCATGATAACATAGGACCTCTACAGGACAGACTAGGGCAAGTGGGGACAGATAAAAGGGATAAAGCTGATCCCTTCAATGAGTTTTTTGCTTCTGTATACCTGAGCATGGATCAAGACAAATCTCCCAACTGGACAACAGGGAGGCACAGGAGGGACACCAACCTACCAACAGTTAGTGCCAACCTAGTGAAGGGACACTTGGATATGTTCGAGTCAGCAGGCCCAGAAGATCTTCATCTAAGGGTATTGAAGGAATTGGCCAATGTCATAGAAGAACCACTGGCACGGCTGTTTGAACACTCATGGCATTCAACACAGGTCCCAGAGGACTGGAAAAAGGTCAATGTGGTCCCTATTTTCAAGAAGGGGAGGAAGGAGGATCAGGGTAACTATAGGCTGGTTAGTCTCATCTCTATCCTTGGGAAAACCTTTGAAAAAATTATGAAGGATTATATTTGTGGGAATCCAGCAGGAAAAACAATGCTAAAGGGCAACCAGCATGTTTCAGTTTCTAGGGTCAGAAGGGATCTGAACAGATCATCAAGTCTGACCCCTGCCCTGGGCAGGAACGAGTTCTGGGATCATAATGCCCCAGCCAGATATCTACCCAACCTCCTCTTGAAGACCACCCCCCCCAAGGTAGGGGAGAGCATCACCTCCCTTGGGAGCCCATTCCAGAACCTGGCAGCCCTAACCGTAAAGTAATGTCTCCTGATATCAAGCCTGAACCTGCTCTTAATCAATTTGTGGCTGTTATTCCTTGTTATCCCAGGTGGCGCCCGGGGGAACAGAGCCTCACCTATTTTCCGCTGGTCCCCCCTGGTTAGTTTATAGACAGCCACCAGATCCCCTCTCAGCCTTCTCTTGTGGAGCCTGAATAGATTCAGGCTCTTCTGAATAGGTTCAGAGCAGGTAGATCCTGCCTGAGTAACCTTGTTCCTTTTTACAACCAGGTCACAAAATGCTGAGAAGCAGGACTCAAGGTTGATGTCATTTACTTGAATTTTAATAAGGCCTTCAACACAGTGTCTCACCCCATTCTCATAAATAAACTAAGCGGCTGTGACATAGGTGATTACATGGTCAAGGGGGTGGAGAATTGGCTTAAGGGACACACCCAGAGAGTGGTGGTGGATGGGTCAGTATTGACCTGGAAAGATGTGGGCAGTGAGGTCCCCTAGGGCTCAGTCCTTGGACCAGTGCAGTTCAATATCTTCATCAGTGAAGATGAAGGATGAGGGCTTGGAAAGCACTCTTTCTAAATTCACAGACAACACCAAATTATGGGGCAAACTAAACACACTAGTAGGCAGGGAACAGATTCAAGTGGATTTGGACAGGTTGGAAAAGTGGGCGGAGCAGAATAGGATGCAGTTTAACAAAGATAAGTGCAAGGTACTGCACCTTGAGAGAAGGAATCTCCAACACATTTACAGACTAGGAGATGACTTCCTAAGCAGCACATCAGCAGAAAGGGATATCAGAGTCATAATCGACTCCAAGATGAACATGAGTCGTCAATGTGATGAAGTGATCAGTAAAGCTAAGCACGCTATCACGCATTAGCAGATGCATCACGAACAGGTCTAGGGAAGTGATACTTCTCCTCTATGTAGCACTGGTAAGGCTGCAGCTGGAGTACTGCATTCAGTTTTGGGTGCATGCTTCAAGAGGGATGTGGAAAACCTTGAGAGGGTTCAGAGGAGGGCTACTTGAATGGTTAGGGACCTGGAGGTGTAAAGCCCTACAAGGAGAAATTGAGGGACCTCAATCTCTTCAGCCTCTGCAAGAGAAGGCTGAGAGGGGATTTGGTGGCCATCTACAAATTTGTCAGTGGGGACAGCATGGAATAGGAGATGCTCTGTTTCCCAGGGCACCCCTTGGAGTAACTAGAAACAACAGCCACAAACTGACAGAGAACAGATTTAAATTAGACATCAAGAAGAACTTCTTTATGGTGAGGGTTACCAAAAACTGGAATGGGCTTCCAAGGGAGGTGGTACTCTCCCCTACCTTGGAGGTCTTTAAAAGAAGACTTGACAAGCACCTGACTGGGGTCACCTGACTCCAGCACTCTTTCCTGCCCAGGGCAGGGAGTCGGACTCGATGATCTACTAAGGTCCTTTCTGACCCTAAACATTTATGAAATCTATGAAAATTTGGGCCAATATACTCTCATGGGGTGTTTTTATAGTATCATCTGAGACTAATCTAGCAAATATAACTTACATTTGAAGAAATTTTGAAAAACATAGGGGGAAGTTTACTTACTTGCGTATATAAGGTGGGTGACAGTTACAGAATAAGCATCTTATCTGTGGCAAAGAACTTGAACCCAGTGACTTGCTTCTCCTTTGCAACTCATGATGCCAGGGGGTTACTGCAGCATTTTGGTTCAGGGTCTGAGTCTGCTTCAAGTTATCTTCACTGAGCCAGCAACTGGCTTCCAGCTGCTCTAGCTTTCTTTTAGCCTCCAGTAGTTTTTGTTTCTTGACAATCTTCTCCAACTGAAACTTGACCTTCTTTCGCCTTATGTTTCTTTCAGCTTTCTTTAAGGAGTATTTCTGCAAGAGCTCCAGCTGCACAAGTCTCTTCTGGTTCTGTTCTACCAGGGAAGGGCAGATTTCCAATTCAACAGTATTCTGCACTTCGGCTTCTGCATAGGACTTGGACTCTGTCTGCACTCCAAATTCTCTCTGCTGCTGCTTAAGTGCAACCAGTTGATTATGCTCCTTAATAAGCCACTGCTGGTCTACAAGCAAAGTAATAGGCAAAAGAAGGCAAAAATGTTATCATCTTGTTTTGGTTTTATCTGGTTCTTAAATTAAAACCAGTATTGAAGACCAATGATCAAGTGTACATGGATCCAGCAAAGTCTTTTTTTTTGTATCATTTAAATTGGATCAGGATACTTAACATGGATCTTATCATTTATCTCTTCTCTGCTACTTCCATATGCTGCTGGCCTGTGCTGCCCTGGTAGAATACAAGATCCCTTCTTTCTCCAGAGCACAAAATCTCAGAAGCATAGGAATGGCAGCAGTAAAATGACAGAAGAAATAGGTAATGGTATTTTGATCTGTATTTGCTGGACACAGAAGGTATTTATTGATCCAGTGGATTTAGAGAAAATGGACATATTCCATCCACTCTATTGTTAGCATTGTGCTGTATTAATAACTAAGCACATAGATGGATGACAGTGTAAAACACGATTTGGCAAACAACGTAAAGCCCTACACCAGATAACTTTGCCAGATCCAGTGAAGAACTGTCTCTGAAAGAATCAGGGATAAAACTAGAGATGATTGCATAACAGCTAAAAATGAAGTCTTACTTTTGTATAGTGTGGGGGAGTATGGAGGAGTGTGGGGTGGTAAGGGTGGGTGGATGTGTGTGTATGTGGGGTGTGGGGGAGGGTGGGTATGAGGCTTGAGGGGGGCGCTGTGTGTATGTGTGTGTGTGTGTGTGTGTGTGGAGGTGTGCATGTGTGCATGTGTATATTGGGGGTGGGGGTGTCATGGGTATGGGAGGTTTGTGAAGTAGTGTATGGGGATGTGTGGGTGTGTATGGGGTTTCTGGGGCTGCGGGTGTGTGGAGGGGCTGTGGGTTGTGTGGAGGGAGAGGGTGGCTGGGGGGTGTGTGTAGGGGGAATGTAGGTCCATGTGTATGGTGCAGTGTGTGTGGGGCCCCCTACAAACACCCCCCCCATTACGCATAGCCCCTGCAGTCAGTGGCAGCAGCAGGTGGAGTCCCCCAGCGGAACGTGGCCCTGGCGAGCCCCAGGACTGCATGTGGCTGGGCTGCTGGTTCCGTCATGCAGGGCTCACATGCAAGAGCCCCGCAGCACTAGGGGGAGCCCCACACAATGAAGCTGGGGGTGCAGATCATGGGGCTCGGCAGGGAGTGGGGCAGAGCTGGCTTGGCCTCATCACATGGGACTCCCCCCAGAGGCACATGACTCAGGTAGAGAACCCAGGAACTGTATGCGAGCCTTACATGATGGAGCCAGGTGGACCCCCATGCCCCCACTGGCTCAGGCTCTGCACACATGCCACCTTGCCCTGGGTCCCCACTGGCCCTGGGGCAATGGTGCAGGCCCCACATTTCCACCCACCCAGCTGCTGCTTCATTTCCACCTGCTGCTGCCACCACTCCTCTCCCACCTGCCCACCACTGCTGCAGCTGCCACCGCCACTCCCCCCATGCCACTGCCATCACCACCCCCCGTGACCACCACCACTTGTTGTATTGCAGTGGCTATAATTACTGTAATTGCTTTATATTGCTATTTTTATAATGAATCTTGTTATGATTTATTTTTCATAATATTTTAATCAGTCATTATTATTCTGTATTAAATATTAAATAACCATGGAATTAACTATCTATTTTAAATTCCCTAATGCTTAGCATAAATATATTTGACCTGTTGGTCTCATGCTTTTAGAACTTAAATTTAGTATAGGAAAAATGTTTATGTAAGGCCTGTGGTATGTCTGGCATGTTTGAAAAGAGGTCATGAAAGAATAAATGATGCGGGTATGTGACAATGTGAAGACAGTCCTCTTGTAGCAGGTGAAAATATCCTTCTGTGGTTTAACAGTTAAAGGTTGCAACCATGTTGAGTCAGCAGTTAGGATTACCCAATACTACTAAATAATGCCTTCACCCTGACAGCTGACGACTACAAGCAACGATCCCCACAAAGATTGCAGACCGCAAAGCCAGAAGACCACCTCCTATGAATCCCAATCAGCCAATGGGACAAAGAGGATGACCTTCACGTCTGACTCAGCGGAATCCATAGGCTTGTACAGCTATCACTATAAAGAATGAACACAAAGAAAAGGCTTTGGGTCTGTCCACCTGCAAGAAGGAGTTTTGGGCATGTACAAGAAGCCCTGACTCCATTCCTCATGGTCAGTCTGGCTGGCCACCAGACTGACCTGAGCATCTTTAGAACTTGGTAACACCTTAAATTTTGCAGGACTGTCTAACTAGCTATGTGTGTGCTTGTTTCTTTTGTATGAATGAATGAATAAATGAGTATGTATGGGAATGAGTGAAGCAGATAACCTTATTGTTCTTTATTCCTTTTATGTTTTGTATTCCAATAAATGCAGCTTTGTGCCTTATCCAATAAGATTCCCACTTGTTTTAAGTATTCCCTGTGCGTACAACACATTTTCCTCACCCCCACTGCAGCCCTTCCCCCTGCCATTTTCCTGCCTTCCTATTACACCCTCTCCCTCCACCCACTCACCCACCCACTGCCATTCGTCCCCTGCTTCCTCTCCCTCCACCCACCAGCCTACCGTCACTGCCACCACTTCCCTTGCCCACTGCTGCTTCCCTACCTGTGGGGTGGGGATACAGCTGTCCCACGGGAAAGGGTGGAAATGCACTATGAGCTGCCTCTGCAGGGGTGAGTGGGGCTTGGCCCCATGCAAGCACAACAGGGGCTGCCCAGGACCAGGCCAGGTACGGTAAACTGGTAGGCATGCACCCACGGGCCAGATGAAATCATCTAGAAGGTCAGATTTGGCCCATGGGACATGTTTTGCCTGCCTGTGTCCCATGGGTATCACTGCTGCACAGGGTGCGTGTCTGCAAGCTGGAAATCCTTGGTTGCAGACATGTGCTTTGAAGCCCCATCTTTCCTTGCTTACCCAGAGGCATCCCTGGAGGGACACATCTGGTTAAGTGAGAAAGTGAGCCAGGTGATCCCAAGGCTAGAGAGGCCCCATCCTGCCAGAGAACTCCTGGAGTGTACAAGGTCACAGCACCCCTGCCTCAGGGCGGTAGGACACCACAAGCAGCTTCGTGCTGCCCATGCTGTCCTAGCATAAGCAGACAAACATGGCCTGCAATGAAGTGGCCCAATTTATTACCACCTTCTGGTGCAGCCACAAATTTGAGTGTTTGTGGCATAAAGGTACAGACATCTGTTTGTTTCAGTTTGTGCTGCCATAAAAATGTTTATCATGACACAAAAGTGATGTCTGTTTCCATACCTGGTGGCGAGATCCCTAGTAGTTGCTACTAAATGCAGCTACCTGGGACAGCTGCTCATCTGGATCCTGGTGTAATTTCTATCAGCACACTAAACTAATGAAGGTTACACCAGTGTAAACAGGTTTTCTGTCCAAGCCCTGAGAAGCCCCAGCTGCAAAAAGCACTCATGAGGCATAAATGGATAAGCTAGTTTGTAAGGCAAAGGGAGCTTGTGGGGGAGAGGCAGTTTTCTCTACTAAGTTACAATGTAAAAGAATTTAAACGGACTACCTGCCATTCACAAACTTAATTCCTTAAAGATCATGTCCAAATGCCTTCTCAATTTGACTGTCAGTTACAATACGCACTGGAAAAGATTTCCTATTTGCTCTAAAAGTGGCATCCAGTTCTAAGCACTTTTATTAGGGAAGTGCATGTGCATGATATGGGCAGATCTACAATAGAAATGAAGAGGAGTTTGTTGTAGAGTGATGGCGCCCGTGAAACTGCCTAAAATAAAGGGAACTGAATTTTACCTGTAGGTTGACATCACCTTAACTACAAATTGCCTGTATTCATATTTTGAGCAACTTTAACCTTCTTGCTACTCTACCTATTTATGGTCCCCATCAGTACGGTATTTGAGTGCCTTACAAGTATTTAAAAGTAAAAATATTTATTTTCACTTCTCTCCTCCTCCTCTTCCTTAATGAAAATGACTTGAGTATAACTTATCTTTTGTTTGTTTGACTAGTCATACACAGAAATAGCATTTTGTTTATTTTGTTCTCTTTAGCTAGTGTTTTGCATCCGACTTTCTGGACGTTTGCACCAAGGACTCTGGAAAACACACCAAGCTGCAAAGCAACATAAAAATCAAGGGCAGTTGTCTTTTTAATGTAGCATTTAGTTAACTTGTAGAATTCATTACCATAGGAGGTGGTAGAGGCAGATAGAAGAGCCAGGTTCAAAAAGGGACTAAACAAATTCACAGATGATAGATCTATTAGTAACTATTAAACAGAGCCATCAGGAATGTGTCTTCTTGCATCACTAAACCAATGATGGTGGATGCTATGGAGAGTAATGAACAAGGGATAGATCCTTTTAGATATACCCAGTTCAGCGCTCTACTTCTAAAGCATCCACTACTGCCACTGTTGAAGACAGGATACTAAGCTAGATGGACCATTGGTCTGACTTCTTATGTTCAGTAACAAAGAATTTTCCAAGGAGTTCAACTTCAACAACTTTTCATCCAGGTGCAGGTTTCAGTTAGTCAGTAAGTTAGGAGACAGAGGTTTTTATGTCTGATGTAAAGGGTAAAGAACTGGGTGTTAACTACTTAATGTAGCACATACCTTTTCACAAGCTCTCCCCACAAAAAACAGAGCAGAAATTTATGTATATGGAAATTTCCTTAGTTTTCAAATGGCAACAAATGTTGGCATTAACTTTGTAGGACACCTTTACTATCACTGACTCAATTACAGCACTTCAGTAGAGATACCACCAAACTGTTGCTTCCCCACCCTGTTGACCTCTTCATGGATGGATATGGCATATGTGTACAGTAAAAGAACCCTATCTCTGTGAATTATGGGAGTATGTGTGGTGGAGGGAAGAATTTACTTACACAATGGGGAACTCCCTACTCGAGAGCACAGACTTACACAATGGGGAACTCCCCACTCGAGAGCACTGAGGCAGAAAGAGATCTTGGAGTCATTATTGACTCCAAGATGAACGTGGGCC